GAGAGAGAGAGAGAGAGAGAGAGAGAGAGAGAGAGAGACTTACGTTTGCAATGACCCTTATAAGCGACGGGAATGGCGCGACCTGCGCGGCAAGCGGCGAGTCGCAGGTGGCACGCACTTTTGTAGGTATTTCCATCGGTTCCACAGACAGGACGTGCGCCGACAATCTGATGCGGGAGTGCTTGGGGGCACCTGCGGGAGCACCTCACACAGTGAGGACTTAAGTTTTGATCCAGCAGACAGCTCCGACCTTGGCCGCATCGAACCCGCGCGCACGAACCTACTCGACACTTAGCACGTTATTATGCACAGTCATAAACTGCCTCTGTGATCTAGAGAAGCATTAATTTTCTTTATTTTTATTCTTAGTCATCAGTTATTTTACTGTTAATTACTTGCTCTCGTTTAGCACTTAATTGCATCTCGTTCGTTAATTACGTGACTCAAGTCACTTTAAAGTAATCACAAAAAGTATTAAATTAGACTATTTAGATTATTCAGTATAATTTATTCCCTTACAATATTAACTTTGTGGTATGTCAGTTATTTACACTTTTCACTATCAAGCTCAGTAATATAAATTTTATATTACCTCATTTACGTTATTAGTAACTTACAAGTATTACAGCATTATATAATAATAAATTTGTTAACGCAAGCAACTTGAGACATACGTATATGAAAAAAAAAATGTGTTAAAAAACTGTATAAGATTTTAAATGACATTCATTAAAATATTTAATGTTATCGATGCATCGAGCGCAAATTTTCTATTTTTATATCAACATTTTGATATATTTTACGAAATTAAAATATGTTGTTCTTATATGTACGATTATAAAATTACGAGAATTAAGTACAAAAAAATTTATTATATTGATATTATATTATTAACGAATGGTCAAATTTCGTCGGATATTTTTATAATTTCATTGCATTTATGTGTCCTAATATATTACAAACGTATGTTCGTCTGTGTAATCTTTATATTATTTAAATTAAAATCGTTTTTAAATTACTGGCTCTTTTTGCCCTTATTATATTTATACTGTCTAAAACATTTAATGTTACAACATAACTAATACAAAACCTTACAACATACAAATACAAAACCTATAACAGTCTAATTTAGATCTTAGTTGCTTTTTTTTTTATATATATAATAATTTCGCATGAATTTATATACTAATATGTATAGTCTTTCTAAACTGAGCGCCAAACGATTGTCGGTCTTGAAACGCAATTCTATAATAAACAACCGCAATACTATCACAAATTAAATTGATTAATAATTCAATAATTAATTGATGCTCTTTTGGCATCTTATATCGATGTTAAATTATATTAAAATCTGAAACTAATAATTCTTCTTACTGCGAAATACCTTAGCCGGGAGTCGAACTCGAATACCTTGCTTTACGTGCAAGTGTCCTAACCAATTAGACTACTGTTGTATCCGTGGCGAGGTACAGTCGAAGTCCCGGAGGTAGACAGTGATAACACTCGCACATTTTATATTTTAACACTTTTTATTAATAAGAATAATTTACAATTATGTGACTCGAAGTCACTGGCGTAGCCCGTAACTTGGCTATCGGTTTCGCTGTTGTCTTATTATTAATTGGTTAGCAGGTTGATATAATGACGTGACACTATGTTAACGTACTCGCGCACTGATACTCGACTTCTGCTTCTGGCTTCAGTCGGCTGGTATTTATTTACATGCTTCTGCTGAGCTAGTCAGCTGATTTGGAATGCGGTCGGTGACTGACCGATCGCATATGGCAATTCCTTTTTGAAGTTGCTATGCTTAATTCTGCTTATACTTACTAAAAGATATTTGGAAATTGTTCTACTTAAATGGAATTTCTACTTATTATTGCTTAAACAGCTAAGTTCGGAAATCGTTCCGCTTTGCTAATGCTTAAACTGCTAGATTGCGTTTTTGGTAATTGGAATCGCGTTGCAATCGCGATGTCGTACGCAATCGCTTTAATATATGTAAATGTTTTATTTTATATTTTAATATTTTATTTTAATATTTGTTGTGGATACAACACTACCGAGGCCTTATTCATATTCCTCGCAATAACTGGTATATATGTGAAATGACGAACGTTTTCTTTCAGGCACGTAAATAAACAATCTTCAATTAAAGACTGTTTAACGTAACAACATAACTAATACAAATACAAAGTCTATAGTAGTATAACTTATACTTAGTTGTTTATATGATATATAATTTCGCGTGAATTTATATCAGGAGACGCGGTAGTGTCTCCGGCCAAGTTAAAAAAACTACTAGTTAATTTAAAAGTTAGTTCAAAGATTAATAATAGACACTACAAGTCTCTTATCCCGAGCCACCAAAATCCATTTTTCGGAGCTGCATAACTACTAAAATATAGAAAACTTTGACTCGAACGTTGTACGTCCTGAAAGGCGGCTTCGCCACGAGTAATTTGAGCCAAAAAGATTTTTAATCGATCAAGCCGTTCTGGAGATACAAGCGATCGAAAAGTGATGATTTTAATGAAAAATTACCTCCTTCTCTATTCGTCCGTCTGTCCGTCCGTCCGAAAATATAACTGTTTAACATCCTATCTCACCTTTCACTCACACCTCCACCATCTTCGACCCAACAAAACCCCTTCCCCTCCCCCCACCAGTCCCACCACTCAACCCCATCATTCCTCTCTTTTATCGTATTTCACACTTTCGTTATTATAACTTTTTAACATTCTCTCTCACCTATTTCACTCACACTTCCACCAATTCCGATCCACCGCACCTCCCCTCTCCCCATCCTCTCCCCCACCATTCATCCCCACCACCCTCCTCTTTTGCCGTATTTCATTCCCTTTCGTTATGTAATATTTTTAAATCATATTTTTTATGTATTTGGAATATATCTGTATTCTAAAAAGTAAGTGATATCATAAAAAAATCATATTACAAAAATGAATTATAACTTTGTAACATCCTCTCTCATCTTTCACTTACACCTCCATCAACTTCGATCCATCACACCCTCTCTCCTCCTTCTCCTCCATCACCACCCACTCCCACCTCTCCTCTCTTTCGCCGTATTTCACTCTCGTTATATAATTCTTTTAAATCATTTTTTTATATACATATATTTGTGATATATTTGTACTCTAAAAAGTAAGTGATATCCGAAAAAAATCATATCATAAAAATGAAAAGGTCAAGCCATGTTCAAAAAAAGATACTCAAAAATTTAAATCTTTTTATCTAATAATAATATATTACCACAAAAAGTAACTAATATATTATTAATTAAAGGTACCAATTCAAAGTGAACATGCATAAAGTGTATGTTCACTTTGAACTGGCACCTTTAATTAATAAATTATTGTGTTTTCCACAAAATGAATCTCGGATTCTTAATTAATTGAGAATATATTTAATGGTGCGAATACAAAGAGTGAATATGAGTGTGCCGAATGACTGTGTATATACAAGTGAGTGTCCGAGTCGACCTCCGTTTCGTCAATAACTAGATCGTTGCCGAGCCACCCTTGTGGCGCCGTTTATGTCATAGACGTAGGTAACACCTCCCCTATCTGAAAGTGGTGCACTGGTAATTCTTCAGTTTGAGTGGACCGTGTCTGTTGCGTTGAGAATGAACTGGAATCTCAACAACCAGTAGTTAGACATTGACCTAGTTTACACCCAGCCGTCCAATCCCGATTCACTTCGAAGTGAAGTGAAATTCAATCCTCTTTTCTCAGCGGAGTAGGGCGAATCCGGTGTAAACATTCCATAAATCCACTTCACTTCGAAGTAAATCGGGATTGGACGGCTGGGTGTAAACTAGGTCAATGTCTAACTACTGGTTATTGAGATTCCAGTTGAAAAGGTTCTGTTTGTTGGCCTAGATCCTGTCACTCTTGTGTTTGTTTTTCAAAATCTTGAGTTCCAGACAATTCTTGAGGCTGTAATAGTTCTTGTCCGGTGCTTTCGAGAGGTTAAGGTGAAGTGGAAATTTCTTGAGGTGAATTGAAAGTTCTTTGAGGAATAGAGGAAGTTTCTTGAATATCCGCTTGTTTTCCTCCATCATGGTAAGCATTAATTAATATCTCAAGTAGTAATTGAAGTTCCTCTTGTTGAGATGAGTCGTTATTGTCCTTGATAAATCAAAACTTAATTTGATTTGCATGAGCTCGAACCAAACGACTTCGTGTGTCAACAAGTACGCTGTAGATAACTCTTCCAACTTTTTCAACTACTTCTCCCGGAATCCAAGACCATTTATTATAAGTGTGAATTTGAACGTAAACTTACGTTTCTGGTTCAAAACTCTTGGATTTAACTGCATGTCTCTGGTTGTATTGTTCTTCTTACCTTTGTTTAGGAAGAGTCTTCTCAGGTTGAAGAGTTGAACACTCTGAGGGCCTAAGAAGATCTAATGTTATTTGTATTGGTTTTTCGAATAAGACTTCAGCAGGAGAAACTTGATTCGGAACATTAGGATTTGGAGTTGACTTATAATACTAAAGAAAACTGCAAAGATGTTCCTTGACTTCTTTCCGCTTTGCTTTGATTTTTGAAAGTGCTCGTTTAATGATATCTACGAACCGTTCTGCTTGTCCGTTAGATCTTGGATGAAAAGGTGGAGTACGCAGATAATTGATTCCCTGAGAAAAACAAAAGTTTTGGAACTTTTCTGAAGTGAACTGAGTTCTATTATCTGAAACTAAACTTTCAGGAACACCAAATCTTGCAAAGATTTCTTGAAGAATATTAATAGTCTGCTGAGATGTAATTGTTTGTGTTGGAATTATCTCAGGCCATTTTGAAAAGGCATCAACCAAAACAAAATAATATTCTCCGTTTAAAGATTTTGCGAAATCTATGTGAACTCTTTGCCATGGTTTTGCAGAAAGAGACCAACTTGATAATGATACTTTGATTGGTCATTTCGCAACAAGAGCGCAATTTCTGCAATTTCGAACAAATTCTTCTATTTCATGATCTATCTTTGGCTAATAGACATACGAACGAGCTATGACTTTCATTCGCTCTATTCCAGGATGATATTTATGAATTTATTTGAAAATTTGTTGATGGTATTATTGAGGAATTACAACTCTGTCGTTGAAAAAAAGACATTCTTGAATCATGGTTAATGTTTCGACGGCGGAAAAATGGTTGTAAATTCGGATCATCGACATTCTATGGTCAAGAATTCAAAGTAAAGTTATAACTTTTTGTAAAATATCATCTTTTTTAATTGCATCTCTGATTTGTTGAAAA